AAAGGAAATAAAAAAGGCATATTAAAACAAAAATTGGGCCAAAAGAACGGCCGGGACTTAGTGAGCGACTGGACGTGGGAGGGGACGAGGGCGACCACAGGGACCTGACCTTTAACACAGAGCAAAGGAAACAAACACCTGGAAAATCACCTCCTCTCGGGCTGTTGACCGTACTCTCGCTTGCATCCGTCTCAGGTACCTTCTCCTGCATTAACAGGCTGTCCTCCCACCCTCACAGTGAATGGGAACTTGAGAAAGGGGCCCTGTCCTACACTTGTGTGCCCCTCCCCAACACCCATCTTGCACACAGTAAGGATTTAAGAGACTCTGAGAAACACATCACCTCTGGGGGCTTCCTGCCAAGACTGCATGCCCTGAATCTGGTCATGTGCAAGCCAAACCGAGGGACATCCTACAAAATAACTGGCCTGTGACGTCACAATCATCAAGGTCGTGAAAAACGGAAAATGAGGAACCGATCCAGGACAGAAGAGACCACAGGGACATGCAGGGCCCCTAAGGTCTTAGCAGAGCAAGAGGGATGGATGGAGAGAGAGAAGAGTAAGGTAGAAAAATGTTCACCTTTGGGAATCTCGGTGCAGAGTATTATTTTTGCAACTTTTCTATAAATTATTACAAAAGAGAAAGTCTTAAAAAACTTAAAAATAAAAAACCAGAAATTAAATTTAATTTAGAAATCCTGGTTTTGGAAGAACGAACTTGTACCAGTCCTCAACCCTGCTACCTAACTGTCCCCACAGGGCCCAGAGGGTTCCTGCCATGGCAAGTCGGGGCAGAGCAACAGGGCTGTGGGCCGAGAGGCCCCCACACCAGAGCAGCACCTTCCCCACCCCTTCTCTCTGGCTGGGAAGTGCCTCTCTTTGCTCTCCTATACCTGTTTCCATTTTTTAGGGAGATTTTGTTGTACTCCTGGTGACTCTGGTACAGCCACAATGGACCAACATTCAGAGGGGACCAGGAAAGGCAGCTCTGGCCACCAAATCTTAATGGCTTCATCTAAAAAAAATAAACAGTTTTAAAAATTGCTCTTAGGGCCGGCCCCGTGGCTTAGCGGTTAAGTGTGCGTGCTCCGCTGCTGGCGGCCCGGGTCCAGATCCCGGGCGCGCACCAACGCACCGCTTCTCTGGCCATGCTGAGGCCGCGTCCCACATACAGCAACTAGAAGGATGTGCAACTATGATGTACAACTATCTACTGGGGCTTTGGGGGAAATAAATAAATAAATAAATAAATAATTAAAAAAAAAACTGCTCTTAATATTGCAACATGGCAGAAGAAGAAATCGCATACCTTGTCCAAGCAGTGGTGAATTTACTATTTGTAATATGGGAAACAAAAACTTCTGATTCAACACATTAATTCACGTATGAAAAAAAGCAAAATGATAATCTCTATAGAGTAAGATCATGGCTTTTTCCCCTCCAGCTTAATCCCATCCAAATGTTCTTCTATGAGATGGATTACTTTTAGACAACTAGAAAAACAGTTAGGGGTAAAACTTGCCTTCAGTTGGATGCTTTCCTTATATAGCACTAAAAGCTGAAGTCTCAGCAAATATCCACATACAGTTGTGCATTGCTTAACGATGGGGATATGTTCTGAGAAATGTGTCATTAGGCAATTTCGTCGTTGTGTGATCATAGAGTACACTTACACAAACCTAGATGGTACAGCCTACCACACACCTAGGCTCTATGGTGCTAATCTTATGGGACCACCATCGTGTATGCGGTCCGTCATTGACCGGAACATCGTTATGTGGCACGTGACTGTATGTGTATCTTCCACAGAACATCCACTTGAGTTGCTTGTAATGAGTTGAGGGGTGTTACTAGTAGTTTCTTTAGGGCTAAGAAGGTTTTAAGGCAAATGATGGCTACTAAACTCACACCTTGTCTCTTAAACATAATTTGTCCTCCTGTGAGCTACGTGCCTGATCACTGCCAGGAAGAGGGCTCTCTGCTGCCTGGGGAAATGGAGCAAATGGGGCCTCTACTCGGCCCTCCCTTGGGATGACACTGGGCGAGACTACCCCGCACATTCAGAGACGGAGATGCCCCACGTTTGCCATCCAAAGCTTCCTGTGAATCTATTAAGGTGCTCTCCCATGACTCGGCTAACTCCGCCTCGCCACAACTCTCCAGGCAAACAGCAGCCAATACCGGGACTTGGCACTTGAGATGAAAGCGACCTGCCACGTCTGGCAACCCACTCACCTGACAGAGGCGGCCACTGCGGGCAGAGGGGAAGACTGGTCATGGGGCACATGGCTCCCAAGGGCAGGGCTGGCGCTCAAGCCTGCGTTTGCAGCCTCTAGGGCTCGGCCCCTCTCCCTGGACCCCACATCTCTAGCGACCATCACTCCCATCCACTGAGCCACCCTGGGACCAGAACATACTCGCAATTCCTTGCTATGGTTATTACGAGCAAGGGGTAATTTGCTCTGCTCAAGTCTTTTTTAAAAAAGCTGCAGATTCTGTCTGCTCAGAAGGCCGCAGGCAGCTCAAGTTACCCAGCTCTGACTAAGCCTTCTTGAGTAGAGTGGCCGGGGACACAGGAGCTACTCTGCAACATGAACATGCCTGCAGCGGGTGACGTTCCAGCTTTTGTGTCACCAGACACACATCTGTGATCCCAATTCCCTGCCTAGAGAAAGGAGCCGATCCTCAGTGCATAGTGGTCTTTTCCACAAAATGGAAAATGAATGTCTGCTGGATTTAACAAATGAGCTAGAATGCCAAAATGGTAACAGTACTGGCCCTTTCCTTTAGTTGTAATATCACCTGAGGTCTTTCCAAGGGCGTCCTATTAGCATCTAATCACAGCCTCGATACTGGCTAGCCAAGCATTTGTTTGCTTTGTGGCTCTCTGCTCAGGAAACTCTGTGCAGCTTCTCTTAATAGCTGGGGCAATGGTGGGTCTCAGCCTTGAAGGCAGTCTCTTCTAGACAACACACGCACCCCCACCTCTTAGTCCAGGGGAGCGGAAATGGAGGCCAGAAGCACACTCGCTTGTGGCTGCACTTGAACTGCGCAGAGCAGAGGCCTAATCCATGCACAGCTAATTTTTAAGGTAGAAAGTTATGACTCTTAGCCTTAAGGTTGTCCATCTCGGTTTTCTCCTTTTAATTCTGTCTCATCCACTATGTTGACCACACAGGTACAGGATGAAAGAAAACAAACCTACTTGCAATCTCAGTTAGGCATCAAACAGCCATTGAGAGTGGTCAAAGAAGTGGAGGGTGCTGCCCAGCACTAGGGAGGGAACCATAGCCGCATGGCCGGGTGAGGGGAGCCCCAGAACTCCAGTCTGGGAGTGCAGCTCTCTGACCTCCCAGAGCAGCATGGCACGGAGAGAAGAGCCCTGGTCAGGAGTCAGGGTGGACTGGGTCCTGGCCTGGCTCTCCTAGGGCGCGAGACCGTGGTCCAGCCACCCCCCACTTCTCAGAGCCAGTTCCCTCCCCAGTAAATGCCTAGGGCCACTCTGAACTCTAAAATCCTACAAGCTCTTCCATCCCCTTAAGTTGAGAGCTTTAAATCAGTTTTGGTGGAGCCTGGCACCCCAATCAATAGACAACAGCCTCTTGACAGATACACAAAACCCAAAAGCAAAATAAACCACCTTAAGTAGGAACGATACAAGGCACTGTTAATTTTTATAAAGATGCTTTAAACCAAACTAGGGCATAAATCACTCTGGTTTAAGAAAAAGCCCAAATATTGGAACAATTTTCTATTTCTATCTAAAGTCAAGAATGTGTTACGCCGAATTAATTGAAAAGGAATTTAGCTCATTTAATAAGAAACTTCCTATTCATAAATCAAAGAGCATCACCTAACGCCTGGAATGACAGAACGTCAGGGCTTAGAGATCATCTAGGGCAACTGACTGATTTGGCTGATGGAAAATCAAAATACAGAGCAGGCAGGCGACACAGACAAGGTCACAGAGGCAAAGCAGGGATGGGAACCCACATTCCCCGAATCCGTTTGGGTCTGGCACCGCAGTCAGGGCTAAATATTAGATGGTGAATGAATGAAGTTAAGTGGTATTCCCTGCACGGTTCTTCTAACTGGTTCACAAGTAAGTGATTTCCAGGTTATGGAGATATCTAGAACACAATCAAATATTTCAAAATTCTACTTTTAACTCCTGAGAAGCCAGAGTAGAACTTCTCAGCCTTTTCCACACAAACTAACAATCTTCCCAACCGAGGGAACCACAAGGCAGAGAAATCATCTCCGGAAACCGGGAGTCTTTCACCTAGTGCCAGAGGAGCAGCCTAACTGCGGCTTTTGTTATGTGTTTACATCAATCCCCAAATTCGCCTATGTCACACACCTTCAAAACAGGGATTAGGGACAAGGAAAAGGCCTTCTGACAACAGACCTCTTCCGGCCGCAGAACCATAAGATCAGAAATCTCTCTTCTGAGAGGAGAATTTAGAATTGCAGGAACCAGAGATAGTAATTGGGGCCTAGGAAAATGGTTTGCGAAAAACACACACAAAAGCATAAAACCTGGCATCTGGAATGAGAGGCGAGTATGGAGGGGAAACGGAGGCCTGGCCCGAGGCTAAGGGCTGTTTAGGCTGCAAGCTCCCCCGCTGAGGCCAGGGGGTCCGGGGTTCCAGCCTGGGCTGGAGCAGCAGGCCAGGAGGAAGGGGGTGCCAGGGCTCATCCCTTGTGCCGGGCTAGGGGCTCCGGGGCAATGGGGGCCGTGCTGCGATGGGCGGGGGGTATGGGGACCAGGCAGGAGTCCCCGGCGAGAGCTAAGGCGGGGCGGGGGTTCCCGGGCGAGGGCGGAGGGCGGGGTCCCCGAGCCGGGCGGGGGGATATGAGGACCAGGCGGGGCTGAGGTCCCCGGACCAGGGCTGAGGGCGGAGTCCCAGGGAAGGGCCGGGGGGTGTATGAGGACCAGGCGGGGCTGAGGTCCCCGGGCGGGTTCCCGGCGCGGAGCCGCGCGGCCGGCCCACGCACCTCCTCGGCCTGCTTGCGCAGCGCCTTCTCCCGCTCGTACTGGGTGAGCAGCTGTTCGTTGTCCTCGCGCAGCAGCTCCAGCTCCACCTCGTGCTCCTGGTTCTCGCTGAGCACCGAGTCCAGGTTCTCGAGCACGTTGACCACGAGCGGCATGAGCTCCTTGACCACCTCCTCGTCGTAGCAGTGGATGAGGCGCTCGAACTCGCGGTAGATGGAGCCCGCCAGGCCCGACACCCGCTCGGACATCACCGAACCCGAACAGTAGTCGTCCTGGTATACCACCACGCCGCCGCCCTCGTCCATCTGGATCTCCATCATCGCGGCCACCGCCGCCGCCAG